ATAACAGAACTAATTAGAATTAGAAATTTAAACATGCTAAGGGCACTGTAGACACATACATAGGAAAAAAATATTGAATGGGAAGAAATCACCAAGAATGCAGCACAGAAAGAGACATAAGTGGAAGAATTATTAATATGCATGGGGATTAAAATGAGAAAGTTCAACAAATATCTATTTAAAGTTTTCTGAGGAGATAATAAAGGTAGTAGAGGGGCGCCTGGGTGGTTCAGTCGGTTAAGCAGCCAACTTCAGCTCAGGTCATATCTCAAAAGGTCATAGGTTCGAGCCCCGTGTCCATTTCTGTGCTGAAAGCTCAGAGCTTGGAGCCTGCTTCCAATTCTGTGTCTCCTTCTCTCTGTGCCCCTCCCCATGCTCATGCTCATGTTCTGTCTCTCTCTCTCAAAACTAAACAAACATTTGAAAAAATTTTAAGGTATTAAAGAGATAGATAAAGAAATATTCACTGAAAATTTTCTGTTAGTAATCAAAAGCATGTATTCTCAGAATTAAGAAGCCCCCAAAAATATCAAAAAGAGTAAACAAAAAGAAATTCATGTCTAAACATGCTGTGGTTAAATGAAGAAAACCAAAGAAAAAGAAATCTTAAAAATAGAGAAACCAAAAGAACATCGGCTACAGAGAAATTATAATAGACAACGGACTTCTCAGTAGCTCATAGAGGAAGCCAGAAAATCAATGACTTCCAGGGTTGGAGACAATAACCATCAGCCTGGAATTCTAGAGAAAGAGAAATCATATTTTCAAAGTGAGAGCATGGGATACCTGGGTGGCTCAGTCAGCTAAGTGTTTGGGCTCTTGGTTCAGTTTATGATCTCAGGGTTCGTGAGATAGAGCCCCACGTCGGGCTGTGCGCTGACAGCACAGAATCTGCTTGGGATTCTCTCTCTCTCTCTCTCTCTCTCTCCCTCTGACCCTCCCCTATTCATTGAGCTCTGTGTCTGTCTCTCTCTCAAAATAAACATAGATAAATAAATAAATAAATAAAGAGCAAAATGAAGACATTTTCAAACAAACGGAAATGAGATGAGTGTGTTATCACCAACAAACCTTTACAAAAGCAATTTCTCAAGGATGCACTTGAGGAAGAAGGAAAATTATCCCCAGAGGAAGGTGTTTCCCAAAAGAAGGAATGTGGGGGGGAAAAAAGTAAAGATGTGAGTAAATCAAAACGCTAATCATTTAAAAGAGTAATACTTATGTTTTACATCTTGAGGAGTTTTTTTAAAAGATGCCCAAAGTACTGACAGCAATATGTCAGCAGAAAGATGTTCAAAATGGAAGATTTTTATACTGCTCCAGAGGAAGGCAAGAATTACTGACTGGGCATTGCTGGGGAGACACACCGAGCAGGGAGCAAGCTGTATGTCCATCTGGTGGGGAGGTGAGTTTTCATCACCTTCATTATTCAGATTGCTGCAGCCTGACGATAATGAGATGCAACAGACTTTCATCTTTTTTGCTCTAATTTTTAAACTCTTTCCAGACAATTCTCCCCCTTACTGCCTGTACCTAAGGCATATAACAGCGACCACCATCACCTTTACACACCACTGCTTTGTTTATTTAAGAGTTATTATTTCAAATATAACTACAAAAGATTTAGAAGTAGATTATGCACTTATTACACAGAAGAGAGAAATGAAACATTGTATATGGAAAAACGGTCACACAAAAGAGTTCAAGAAAGGTGGGGAAAATTGAGGAGCATGAAAAATAGGGAAAAGAGGGGTAAAAAAATACAAATATGTTAATGATCACTGAATAATAAATTAACTCATAGGTTGAACTGCCAGCACACAGGAAACAGGAGAGGCAGAAGAACTCATTAAGTGACATCCAGGGATATCACCAAGGCAGAAGAACTCATTAAGTGACATCCAGGGATATCACCATAAAACTACCAGAGTCTGGGAAATGACAGGTTTTCAACAAATAAAATAAAGATTGATCCTGTCTTGAGAAATTCTGCAATCGATCACAATGTGTGGATCTTCCTTGGAACCTGATGCATACCCAGAAACTAAAAATATTATGAGACAAGCAGGGAAATTTGAATGCTGACTAGACGATATGAAAGAATTGTTGGGGTTCCCAGTGGAGTGACCGACCCTTGATTTTGGCTCAGATTATGATTCCTGAATTTAAAAATTAAAATTTAAAAAAAAGGAAAGGAAAAAAAAGAAAGCAAAATTATTTGTCTTTAATTTGTTAATTTTTCAAGTGTGTTAATCATTTGTGGTTATGCTTTTGTGCAGTTCTATTTTTATTTTTTTAACGTTTATTCATTTTTGAGAGAGAGAGACAGAGCGTGAGAATGGAAGGGCAGAGAGAGAGGGAGACACAGAATCTGAAGCGTGCCCTCTCTTGCTCGCTCTCAAAATAAATAAATAAACATTAAAAAAAATAAAGATACAAACTGGAATATTCATTAAATGATATGCTACTAGATTCAAATTAATCTGTGAGATGAAAGGGTAGTTGATGGAAACAGATCATGGATTTATGGGCATTTGTATACTATTCTGTCCACTGTTGTAAATGTTTATAATTTCCCAAAATCAAGAATCAAGTGATTCTAAGCTAAACAACCCAGTAAAAAAAATAAAAAATATTTTCAGGCTAGGTTCTTACAACTATAGTCTATTTACAGAAAACACATATAAAATGTAAAGACGTCTAAAGTTTGGAGTGGGGAGGGGAACTTCATATGATGCAAACAAAAATCTTAGGAGTTCATATAATTAAAATATTTTAAGATAAAGCATAATTAAGACCTCTTGATCTATATATCTAAGGAGACTCATTAAAAATGATTAAAGGTTGGGGCACCTGGGTGGCTCAGTTGATTAAGTGTCTGACTTCAGCTCAGGTCATGATCTCAATGACTCGTGAGTTCCAGCCCCGTGTCAGGCTCTGTGCTGACAGCTCAGAGCCTGAAGCCTGCTTTGAATTCTGTGTCTCTCTCTCTCTCTGCTGTTCCCCTGCTTGCTCTCTTTCTCTCTCTCTCAAATAAATAAATAAATAAATAAACAAACACTTAAAAAATTTTTTTAAATGATTAAAGGTTGGGGCTCCTGGGTGGCTCAGTTGATTGAGCATCCAACTGGGGCTCAGTTCATGATCTCATGGTTTGTGAGTTTCAGCCTGGCATCAGGCTCCCTGTTCTCAACACAGAGCCCGCTTGGGATCCTCTGCACCCCACCCCCTGCTTCTTTCCTGCTGGTTTTCTCTCTAAACAAACAAACTAATTAATTAATTAATTGCTTTTTAAAAATGATCAAAGGTTCAATTTATTCATTAGTAATATATATGAGTTCTAAAATTCTATATATCTATTAATATCATTTCAATATTTTGGATAGAAACACTGTCAAGCATGTTACATTCTAAGGAAAAAATGAACTTCCAATTTCATATATTAAATGTGAATATGAAAAAAAAGAAGAAAAACAAGAAGGAAGTCTATATACAGTCTATATAGACTCTATATAGATGGAGAACTTCAGAACTATGGAAACAGTTAACATTGATTGAATCCTACTATGTAGGTACTTTTCTGTATGCCTTACATGTAATAACTCATCTAATCCTCACAACAAATGTGTAAATATGGTTATTATTCTTATTTTACAATTTGGAAAACTGAGGCAGAGAGAGGACCCATGACTGTTTAAAATCTCCCAGGTATGACTGGCGTGAGGTGGTATCTCAGTGTGGTTTTGATTTGTATTTCCCTGATGAGGAGGGATGCTGAGCATCGTTTCATGTGTCTGTTGGCCATCTGGATGTCCTCTTTGGATACAGAAATGCTGAGGCATAGGAGCACATGTACCCCAATGTTCATAGCAGCACTCTCCACAATAGCTAAAACATGGAAAGAGCCTAAGTGTCCATCAACAGATGAATGGATCAAGAAGATGTGGTTTATCTATACCATGGAATACTA